CAGCAACTTTAACACAATATTGCTAAATTACAATTGCCTATAGTTGCTACTTTAGAAATAGCAACTTTAACACAAAATACTAAAGAATAAGAATACATAATGTTAATATAAATATATCAATTGAGAAATAACTAGTATTTGATCCTGTGCATTTGCAAAGATATAAAACACTTTTTTGTTTATATTTATTAATTAAACATGTACTTCTATCATATAAAAATTATTACTTTTTCTTAAATTTTTTTATCATTCAAATTTAAATGAAATTTAAAATTTATTTTAACAATGCAACGTTTACATTTGTAACATGAATAAAATAATATATATATTTGTGGCATATATTAAAAAAATTAACATAAATAAAAATAATTGTTGTTTCTGATTTTTAGAAAAAAAAAATGTGTCAATCATATTTTTCTTTTTTTTTTCCAACAATACAACCAAATATAGCAATTACAGCTCTGAATGTGCCAATCAACTTTAAGTTCCAACATTAGCCGTTACACATTTGAATATTTTGCTACCAAATTTAGAATTAATTTAGTAATTGATCTAAAAAAATAAATAATAAAAATATATATATTAAGTGTGTAACGATTTTAGCAGATTAGTGAGTAATTAATTTAAAAAAAAAATGTAACTCCTTTTGGAGGGAAATTAAAATAGATTTTATTAAATGCATCATCTAGTAATTATATATATATATATATATATATATATATAGATTTTATTTTTCTAACGAATTTTTATAAATATTATTATTTTTTATTTTTATAAAGATAATTATAATTTTTTTATTTCATATATACAATATGAATGTCAAATCAAAGATCTTCAAAAGATGATTAATTTGATATATTATATATGTAAAACCGATAAGAAATCCAAAAGTTATGAACTTTTAAAATACATTTATAATTTAATAGCTAACTGAAGGAAAAATACATTTATAATTTAATAGCTAATTGAAAAAAATAAATAAAATTAAAGAGTTATATTAGTACAAGTGATATTAAAATACCGCTAAATAATATTTATGGAATGTTTGAACATAAATTATTAATTATTAATATATCAATATTATTTGTCCAAATCTAATTACGAAGTATGATTCTTTGCCAAGTATAATTTCGAAACATCAGAAACAGCCATGTAGGCTTAGCGCATTCATGAATTATATATAGAGGGATTTCGGCCCATCCATTTGAAACATACGAGACTGGTTTTCTGTACATTATTGGTCCTATATTTCCTTTTGGGCCTCCGGCAGGCCGCACGCCCAACAACAATTTGTATCGATCTGGACACTCCAGTGTCGAACTACGAACAGACAACTTGAGCCTATCCGTCAATATATCAATAAGGCCACTGTATTCGACAGTTGACCATTTTTTTTTAATACATATGCATACTTTTAAACTTAAATGACACACTATATAAAAAATCAAAATAAAAGTATACGTTTCACAATAAAAATATGCATTCTTGTTAAAGAAGCATGGCGAACCGCAGAATAGTTAGGCCGTCTTACACAAAAATATGCGTTGTGCAAATAAATATGTTCCAAGAACACAAGTCATAAATCATCAAGAGCGGGCATGTAAAACTTTCAAATCCTACATATGTAAACGGAAAACTGAAAGCGCATAAAATGGCAGCACGCTATCGAAAAGCCCGAGCCTTTTTCTAGCCGAATTAGAATATGATGCGTTTCAATTTTTGACGATATGTTCCTCAAAACATAATTAGAATATGAAATATGAATTCACACACATGCCTGACATTCTACCCTTTCTGCTGCTCTCAACTCATATTTCATCTTCCTCGAAAGGATCTCGTTCCGGAAAGTCGCCAACCTGAAAGTTACAGAAACACAATGACACACCTCTCAGATCGCGCAATCATTTTGATTAAAGTACGAGACATTAGCTCGAGTTTCATCATTTATTGATCAATACCAATATAAGATGCACGTTAAGGTTAAACTAACTGCAATTGCATATTACCATATTATCAGTAACACTGCGTTTAGAAACACGTTTATTCGTTCCGCATTTCACTTTGCACGTAAAGTAAACCCCAACTTTTTTCCTCTCAAAATTCCTATATTAACCTGTTTTGAAGTTGCAATTCCTTCTACAAAAGTTATCTAACTTAAAGTAAACTATTGTACAAATTTCACCTCAGCAAGTAATTGCAGCCATCAGTAATCACTTAAAACCTCGTCTTTAGTACCAAGGTGTGAAAAAAATAACAAAAATGAAGATTTCATAACTACCATCAATAAAGTTCCTAGAGAATCGGGAACCAAACTATCTAAATTGAAGATTCTTTCTTTGTACAGGAAGAACAAAAAATTATCAGAAAATCCCAATCAAATAGATATATAGTTGTTGAGTGCAAACCATGACTTTGTCCGGTCTGACCATTCCACCACAAAGAGGCGGGCACTCAAAATAACGCTTTCCTTTTACACTGTAAAAATCAAATGGAAGCATGATTAAATGCATAACTTAACCCTCAAACTATTGCATAACCTCCCAATAGTCAACTAACTTTCTTCAGCCGAACTACTTTGATTTGGTTACACCGCCAGCAGTCTACTTTTCTTTCTTTTTTATTCCAGTCTATCTTTTTATTTCCACATGAAGGAAGAATTAACAGTTGCATAATTTATGAATTGAGAGGGGAAGATTTTTTTGGTATGAACATATCCATCATCCAATACCAAATTATACTTGACAAACAAGACTTTATAAGCAGAAAATGAATGATAAACAGTTCTAACAGAATTAAGTTACTGTAATAAACCAAGAGGAAACGTTTAAAGCCGACAAAAATCAGATGAGCAGAACATGTTTTGCATTCTATGTTCATTTTTACTTCAACACCACAACATGTTTTTCATTGTATATTCATTTCAATCATAAATATTACCGAATAGTGTTTCAAGGCTTGGTTGTTATAAATCTTGATGGTTCCTAACTAGCCTGAATGGTGTATGATGTGTCATGAAGTTGAGAAAACATACAGGCCATCATGTTTCCCAAGAGGTTCGTCATACTGGATTCCAACCCAGAAACCTGGTTGAAGAGTTTCAGCCCGACCCACAAATTTCACAACCCCTCTTTTCTCCCCTGGTTCAACTTGACATCTATCTCCCACCTAATCGACGAAAACAAAAGGAAAGATTTTAAAAAAGAAAAAAAAAATGTTGCACACATGCCAAAATAGTAAATGAAAGGTCAAAAGGGAAAAATTCAGCATAAACGAGTCTGGTATATCATGCTAGAAGGTTTAATTTAAAATGCAAATTTTGAAAAAAATAAAATTTAAGTAAAAGACAGGATAAAAAGGAGCAAGCAGACCTTTATGTTCGCACAAAGATCCTCCATGTAGTTGTCTGAAATCTGTTCATAGGTAAGGAAGTTCTATAAGACAAATAATACGAAAGATATATACAGCAATGATAAAATGCAGCCCAGTCAAACAGTTGTTAACTAAAGTCAGTTTTAAGAGAAAAAAGAAGTTCAATAGTAAAAATAAACAAACCATTTTAAGGATTAAGAAGCAAGGTAAACCATCTTTTAAGATATGAAAAGATCAAAGTTAATTATGAACCACATGAAAAAAGTATTACACCCTAAGTATCTTAAAAAGAGGCCACATTTTATCAGCAGATAAATCAAAAGGATAAATACGTACTTTAGACTCGCTATTTGAATGTTGATGTCCCATTTTTTCCTTAAACTTCCTGTATGTACCTGAACAAATGTGATCAAATGATTCTGGACCTTAACTCATGAGCAAATAAAATATTTTAATAAATCTAAGATGCAGCGTATCTAGAAAAAAATATAAATACACACACATGTGTGTGTGTGTGCGCGCTTGTGTGTCCGTGAGAGAGAGAGAGAGAGAGAGAGAATAGTATAATTCAGAATTGACATGAAAATGAAATTGAACTAACAGGCCTAGCTTCAGGATACAGAAGCCAGATAATGGATCTAATATCATTGATAATGTTTGTACAACAGAAATAAAATTTTAAACTCATAATTTCATCTTCAGATTGTGGATTAAGAAGAATCAGATAGTTAACCAAGGTCTTGAATGTTTAGCCAATTTCTGAATAAGAAAAACCTAGAACTCAATTTTGCCTGAATTGAGCAATACAAGACTAAGATAATTTTTTTTATTTTTTTTTCTTTTCAAGCTGGCAAATACTAAGGCATACCATCAAGTTTGTCATATGCTTCATCGGAAATTTTGTATTTCTCCACAAGGGATGTATCATCCAGCCAACCACCAGACGTCACTGATGTGGGGTCAAGATCAATGATGTGCAGCCGAGAAAAAAGAAAAACAGGTTGATAGTCCTCATATTAAGATTGGCAATACACTATATTGACCATAAAGAAAAGAATGTATAATGTACATTGGCCTTGACACATTTGGATGAAAAGGTACATGGAGTAATCAAATTATTCAGCCATTGGACTGAAGACACATACAAAAAACTGGAGAAAATTGATCATGGAACGACAGCTAAAAAATTCCACCCTTGACTTATGGGTACATAAATTGAGTCGCTTGAAAAAATGTGAATTAAATAAAGCGATATGTTAGTATTTTTGGGCAAAATCCTCTGAACAATTAAATCAGGCTCAGAACTGATCTTTATCTGTCGAGGACAGATATAATTTTTGGAAGGGTGGTAGAGAAATGCAGTTGGTGCCTGCCAACTATACATCACATATGATTTCAATTCCAGTAGACATAGGAGAGTAATCCATACAC